GTTGGGCGAGCCCTCGCACGTGTAGCACGTCGAGGTGTGAGGCGGCCGCGTTTCAGATTCTGGACCTCTGCCAGTGCGGCTGTGAATTTGCCACACGCTTCGGACACTGCACAAATGTGTTCATCATCACTTGTCCCCTTTGTGGTGCTACATAGCACTTGGTGCTACGACTATAACTGAATATTGGCATGTAGATGTGTTTGGGGCGGGACTGTTATCAAACATGTAAAGTTTGGTGCAGAGGTGAGCATGTAGATTGAAATTACAACAACTTCCTCTTTCATGGTGAATCATCGATTTTTGGATGCCACGCCACGGGCACGCCGTTCCACAAAAACTCACTTTTAATCGTCAATGGGTTTAGAGTGCACAGCGACAACCTGAGGTCGGTCAGACTAATTCTGTAGGAGGAGTTTGTTAAACTTTAAAAATCATCCAAAAATGACCATTAAATCCAAAATGGCCAACTTCCTGTTGGGTGTCGGCATCGCTCCAAGAGGCTTTTTTGTACGTCTTGCCAGTTTTTCACAGCAATGGTAGATCATAGAGCGTCTGAATAGTTCCTGGACGTTAGCATCAAATGCTAGCAGTGCTGCAACAGAAAATGCTATTTGGGATGCACGTTTAAAAGTAAGGTAAGACGTGTAAAAAATTTGATTATATAATATTAACCAAACTGAAGTTAACATGTAACAGGTTAGTGGATTTCCCCCACTAAATTAGAAGATTTAGGGAAATTAATGGTTAACAAATTAACAAACGAATTCTGGCACTGGCAATGGATAAAGTTAGCAGCACTCAATATAAACAGGGGCAGCCTATTCATTTATTTTAAAATACGTATTTTTGGGGGGTGGTATTTAATTTTATTTAAATATATTAGTGGTGCGTGTATGAATAAAAGATTTGAAAACATTATTTTTGGGGGGGTTGTGGGATTTACGCCTAACACTAAAAGTAGTATACTAACATATTGTAAAAACAATCTTCATAGTAAACATGAATTATATTAGAGCAGTAGACTCTATGTGGTGGAGGAGCAGTGATGCTAAAGAGTAATGAGTGGACCATGGTGAGGCAGAGAACAACACATGATTGTAAATTCCTTTTATAATATACCATTTATAAGAAATCATACTTAAAATGTTATGTTATATTATATTGTTTCCCTTCTCTCAGTGTCTGTATCCCTTCTTTCTTCCTTTCTTAGCTTTGGAGCTTATTTTCCACACAACAATTCACACACTAATTACATAATTACTTTGTACAAATTAATATAATATCATCATCAAAGTTCCTGTGTGTGAGAACTGTTTGTATTCACTAACTAACAAACTATCTAGTAACTGATGCCAACATCAGCAGCACAAGCTGTTGATGAAGTTCCTAAACTGGACAGGGCATAAGTTTCTCAATCAAACCTGTAGCTGCTTACAAAAAAGGTTGAATCGAGGGCAGCTGGACCTCTTCTGAAACGTCATCTACAACCAAGTCCAGCCGCTCTCGATTAAACTTTTCTTGGATAACCCTGACCTGGATGAATCTTTACAGATGTGTAGGTTTATCTTACCCTCTCTCTCTTGTTCTCCCTCTCTCAGCAAAAGAATTCAGTGGAACCTGAATTAGGCTCTTTAGTGATTGTAAGGTTGCTCCTGTTGACCTGAGTCAACCATTTCTTCCTTCTCTCCCAGTCAGCTGGGAAACCATACATTCGTAGTACTTTTATTGACCGACTGCAGCATCTCCACACAGCACAATAAACCGTGCTATAGACTGTTGTAAGACAGTACACAGACACAAACCACTTAACACGCTGATATTGGAGATTTATTAAATGAATACATGACAATCATTGATAGTCACCTGTCTGTTCTATCTGAAGTCATAAAGATTACATTAGTCATAAAGATCAATTAACCCTGGTACCATGGGATTACTAAAAAGAATGTTGACTGGTAAAACTGATCTGAATTTTAAAACGTGTTTTCAAGAGAAATACACTTTCCAATGTAAGGTTAGCCAAAAAATGTCAACAAGGTAGGCGATTGTAGCTGTTATTGTCAAAAATATATGTCCTCCTTTTTTAAAAATAGTAATGTAACTACATACATGTGTCAGTGTGCTGTACAAATATTGTAAATCTTTTACGCATTTATTGTATAAATTACCTAAACTAATTTTCAATTGCCCGCCTAGGACTTCCGGGAATTATCTGCGGTCTCCATGAATCACGTGATGATCAAGCATTTTGGACCCCTGTTGACGCGACTCTTTCTTTAAAGGGCTCTGTTGTCGGGATGTGTAGTAAAGTTGCTTGGCAGAGAAGCAATGAAATGCAGCCTCCCTCAGGGTCCTAGTGCCCGATCACAGTAGGGAAATTGTGAAGCAGAGGAAACGACCACAAAGATTATTTTAAGCCAATAAATACAAATTATATTTGTATTATTCTATTGTGTTTATCAATATTCTTGCTTCTCTTTGTTGAGTACATGTCTGCACTGTTAAAAAAAAATCTAAATCCAATTATTATTTTTATTATTATTATTTTGGAGGGGAGGGGGGGCTTAGGACCATTTTAGGGTAGCTTCAGCCCCCCTAATGACGTCCATGATCTGGGCAGAGAGCCGTCGGCCATATCGTCCTGCAAACCTTGACTTCAAATCTGTAGAAGACCACCTGACAGGATGCTGAAATGCAGTCTTCTTGGGGGGACTTTATCTTGGGATTCCCACTTGTCCCTGCTTGTCTCTGACTTCCCCCATTATATAGAACTTGGCCTTCAGTTTGCAGATGCTACTAGAGCTCACTCCAAAGAATGCCCCAACATGGTTTTGCGGAACAGCAGCTTGATTGCTGTATCACATGGGCCCTATCCAGATCAGTCAAATGTGGCAAGCTGATTCTTGGAGCAGACACTAACTGACCACCGTCGCAGGTCACCTGTCAGCACCTGGGAGTACCAGAAGCTCAAAATAAGAGTCAGTAGCAAAAGCAAAGAACAGTTTAGCATTGTCAAAGAAGATTTGTCTTTTTTTTTTATGGGAGCAACTCATGTACTCAGCTCAGCTGCCCATCACACAAATGAATGTTGCTTACAAATGTGGCACCATTTAAAAGGGAAAAAATCAGGCTTTCCAAGAAGCATGGTTCCAACAAATAAATTATCTACCAAACACAAATTTTCTTACTGTTTGTGCGTAGTTTATATTATAGACATGCAATGGTTATAAGAATACTTTCAAAAATAGACATGTTAAAAGATTAATTAATCAGTTAATACAATTTTAAGTGAGTAAACAGAAGAAAACTCAAATCAGTAGTTGGTGTGACTACCCTTTGCCTTTAAAACAGCACCAATTCATCTAGGTACACTTCATCATGTCAATGATTAAACACATGCCAAACAGGTGCTAATCAACCAGTGTTTCCCCTAGGATGGAGCTGTAGTAGTGGAGGTGAAGAGAATCTTTTTGTGCCCTGCTGGATATAAATACAACCAATCCAACATGTATCACACATTGCAAATAAACTTGGTGGGTGGTGGGGGTATGTGGATCTCCACCAAGAAAATGTTACCTTTTCCAATAAAAAATAGGCAATTTCACATCATTTTAGACCATTATTATTTCCATATATGTGTACAAAAAGTTGGACAAGCAGTAGATAATAAACAAACAACCCCCCAAAAGCCCAACGACTAAACTTGCCAAAGAAGAAGAAGTCTACTGGAGAGTAACTACAGCCATTAGATCTGGGAAAAGTCATGTAGTTAGTTTTGATGGTCTCCACAGTGATTTTACAGTCATGGCACAGTACCAAGCTGTTTGGGCCTCACCACCAAAACCCTATAACTGCAGGGAAACCTGGTAATAGGACCTCAAAATTATTAAAGAGTGATTGTTCATGTTAGCCTTATGTCTTCATTGACTTAATTTACAGCTTTTTGCACTTATCTGTGGAAATTTATATAAAAAAAGGAAACATGTAAGAACAGGCATATTTATTCAGTCCCTTGTGTAGAATTACCAAGGATGTTAAAAGGACTAGTTTGCATCCCTAAAGCCGCGTTTCGACCTAAAGTACTTTTAAGTCCCCAGATCTCTTTTCAAGGAATTAAAAGGTTCCTCCACTGTTTTGTGCGGAGACTGACTTCGGCTCCTTGTAAAAACTTCCTGAGTGATGAAAACTTAAAACAACAACTTCGGAACCAGTATTTAGCTTAACTCCATCAGCTGTAAGCTGTAAACACACTACTGCAGCTGGCTGCTATTTCCGACCAATACATTTAATGCCAACATACGATCTCAGGCGGACATCAGCGAGACTTGTGTGGCTATGTGACTGTTGATTGTGATTTATTGGTTTGCAAAAAATGGTGGAAAAGAGAAGAGCAGTCTTAGAAAAACAGCAGACACGCTCAATTGAAAGCCATTAGCCTCTACTTGCCCCGTTCAGAAATTCACTGCAAGGCAAGCCCAAGCTACGACACAAGATCGTTATACTGCATCAGCAAGGACTCTCTCAGGCAGACATTTCAAGGCATTTGAAGAAGCACAAAGAAATACTAGACTTGCAGCCTCTGCAAAGCAGTCTCACTTTATAGCATTTTTCCACACCTGCCTAGAAGCTTTGCACAGTAAACTTAGCAAAAAAGAAATGTCCCTTTTTCTAAGCTCAAAGTTGAATTGATTGTCTGCATGTTCAAATTTCTTCCCTGAGCAACAGCCCCTCTCTACCAACCCTGTGGGCTCATTGAAATACATGAGGGTGCTGTGTTTTTTCATGCAATGCTTATGACTGTCTGAACACAGTGTAAAACAGCAGCTCAGTGTGCTGTCACTTCCTGAGACTTTCATCCATACACATTCTCTGAGTAAAGAACAGCTTAGTAGGTGTGAATTAAAAAACAGAAATTTGTGTTTGTGTATTTTTGTGTATATAGGTTGTTGTGTTGACTATTAAATGAAGTAAACCACACTGTTCCTTTGTTCTTCCCTAAGGTCTCAGGAAAATGTGTTGTCAGATCCCACAGACTGTATGTCCAGGACCCAGCAGCAGCCTATCTTAACAAACTCTCCCAACTTCTCTGTGGATATACGGATGCCTGGTGTTGTCCCAACTAGAGTGAGTCTGTTTCTCTCAAGTAAAGGGTCTGCATTTAAGACATCAAGAGTATTTGGTTATCAATCTACAAGAAGTAAATCTACAACTGTTTTGATAATTGATCAATCTTTTAACTCAGCAAACATGCCAAACATTCAGCCTCTCAAAAGTGAATCTTTACTGGTTTTCTTCTGTGATAGTAAATTGAATATCTTTGGGTTTTAGACTGTTGGTCTTCTAAAACAAGGCATTTAAAAACGTAACCTTAGAATGTAGGTGGGTTCCCATCCACTTGGTGCATCCACAGCCCTGAATGGAAAGTCCACTAAAGCTTCTGCTCCACTGCAGAGATGAAAGTAACGATGAGGAGGCTGTAACCTTCCTAATTACACAGTAGTGCACATACATTTGTATTTTCTTTTGCCAATTTTATGAAAATTCACTTGAAATGTGTGCTTCAGTTATATGGAAACCTGGCTTGTAATGGACATGCTCACTATTTTATTTTTCCCATTATTTTGTATACCAGACCCTTAATTGATTAATACCCAGCAAATAAGTTTACAATGTCTGAAAATAATAATTAATCGTTTCTACTTATGGTCATCAATTTCGCTTTTGAAATTAGATGAACATAAAGTGCTCATGCAGTTACTTTGCTCACAGTTTCAGTTCTTTGGTAACTGAAGATGTAGAAAAAGTTTTTGCTAACCTGCTAAGCTACTAACACCAACCTGTGGGTTCTTGTTATCTTATAGAGCAGGAACTTTTCAGGGGGCTCAGGAACCGTTTCATCATCAGGAACCTTACCTACACAACCGAAGGAAAAAAGGGGAAACTTTTAACTCCTCAGCTGTAGTTCATGTTCTTGGAGGTTCTGACTTACTGATGGCCCAGGCTTTACTGTGCTGATGGTCACTCACAAGTCAACATGACATGTATAAACTGTACACATAACTGTATTTTTGTTCAAACTTCAAACAATTCACTCACTCACATCAGTCTGAAAATGATTGCACCATAAAATGATGCTGCTGAACATTTTAGCAACTGATGACTGTTCTCTATTATTCAGTAATGGATATCTTCACTGTCTTCTTTGATGTTTCAGTCAGACACTTACCTCTGCATGGCATTTCCTGTGCCAACTAGTAGAGATTCATATATTGGTGAGTATGTATCTTTGAAATATTGTTAGACAAACATAGTAGTATTCAGCCATATTCTAAGCAAAGCAAAAACTAGTGATAACTACAAAGACTAGATGGCACGTTTCTGGGTGAAGATGTGGTCAGTTGTATGCTTCTGGATCTGTAGCACCTACAGTTGCAGCAGACATTGTTAAGGTAGTAGAAATGGAGTAGTGGTAGTAGTAGCAGGAGGTAGTAGCTGTAGTAATAAATGTAGCTTGTTTGTCTGTACATACTACTTTGTGGTACCTCTGTTGTGTACAGATTTTTAAATAATATATGATCAAACATATTGACAAACTTAGTTGGGACAAATTTAATAAATCTGCACTTTGTAAATTTACAATATGGATTTTATTTACAAATATATGTATAGATATGACTACTGGCTTGAGGTTGGTGATTTTCTTTCTCGCTTTTCTCAGTCTAACTCTTAAACTGTGGTGTCTACACATCAGGGCTGCAAAATGTCCTGATTTCCCCCTGAACTTTTCTGTCCTTGATCCCAGGGGAATGGAATTCAGCCCAAGTAATTCAAGCATTTCAAAACATATTTTGACCACAGTGCTTTTCCTCCTCAGTGGACTTCATACCTCATGCAAGTATGGACACAGTGCACCACATGCTGCTGTTTGGCTGCCAGACTCCTGTCTCCAGGAGCAGCTACTGGTAATGTCCGACTTCATGTCACATCTCAGTGTTTACAGTGTCTCTAATGAACGTTTTTATTGGTAAAAAGGTGAAAAGCTGAAATAGAAAGAGCCTTTTTTTCATGCAAGAGATCAGTAAAGTCATTTACTTTTATTTGAGAATTTACTGTAGATTGAACCACTGGGGTTAGAACAACAGCACAGGGGCAGTGTTACAGCAACTTTTCCATCATCATTAATAATCATAGCGCTATCCCCAGTACATTCTGTAGCAGCTACTAGTTTGGTTGCACAGCAGTGATCAGATTTCGCTTTGGTTTTCATTGCATTAGTAGTGCGGCAAACACCAGTAGTAAGTGTTACATCAAATTTCAAAGCCAGTTAGAATGACTTACACTGGGCGTGGCATGTGACATTTTATTTAAAAGCTTTGTTACATTCCTTAGGTGAGCGCACACATGACTCCAAATTAATGATAATGTTGCTAGTTTGCTTTGTGTCTGCTGAATGATGTGCAAACATGTTTCTCCACATGAACTCCGACTTTAATACTGATGAAAGTATCAGTATAATTATATTATCTATTGTATCACATTTCTCTGTTTTTGTCAAACTTACAGACATGTGATTCACAGTATTATTATTATTATCATTATCGTTGTCGTTGTCGTTGTTGTTACACTGTATTATTCGTATGGATTGTCTTTCCAGGGACTGTGGCAGTGTACAAGGCACTTGTGAGGATGAAGCTTCCATTATGTATGCCTGGGCTCGGAATGCGCCACCTACTAAATTACCCAAAGGTATGTTCACTAGATAAGAGTTGGTTCACTAAATAATTACTTCTTCAAATAATAAAAGTCATGTTTATTCATTGTCCTCAAGTTGTATCTAGCCATGTGCGTAGTTTCTTTGTAATTTGTCCAGTTTTGAGATAATCTATTCAATTCAAAGGGGCTGTATTGGCATGAAAAGCAGTTGTTAATATTGCCAAAGCAAGTGAGGTATCTGGCTCTAAGATTTTTGCCTCCTCCCCAATACAATGGAGGTAAAATGATTTATTTTGTAGTGGTTCCATTCTCAAAAAGCAGCACACTGTATACAGTGTTGGGCAAGCTACTTGAAAAATGTAGTGAGCTAAGCTACTAGCTACTCTACATTAAATGAAGCTTCACAACACAGAAGCTAACGCCCAGTGAAATGTAGCAAGCTAAGCTACACTCACACACACATATACACACACACAGAGTATAGGCCTAGTTTATATTGAACTAACTTCATTCCGCAGTAACAATAGAAGAAAGAATAAAACCTGCTCCAAACAGTGTGTGTGTGAGAGAGAGAGCTAAATCAGACACACAGAAACTCTCCTACATAGTTCCATATTATTGCAGCTAAATGTATTTCCTCATGCAATAAACGGAGAACCATTGTTGTTTCTATAAAGTAACTTAATTATCACATTATTAATTAATTATATATTTCTTATTGTTTATATGTGAATTTGTGCTCTGGCAACATTGCAACCTAAACAACCTAAACATTCTTGGCAATTGGCGAGAAAGAGAGAGAGAGAGATCTCATCTCATGGAAACAAGTTTCTGCCACAAGTTTCCTCCTCACTAGAGAAAAAGCTGTCCAGGCTGGACCCTGATCCTTCTCACAAGAGGTGTTAGAGTAACTATCACAATAGAAAGTAAACTCAATCGTGCATGTCTTTACTCCCTTGCAGCAAAGCTCTGCATCAGCCCAAGGATCGGTACGTGATGTCACCGTCACTTACTGATCCTTCAGAAATGCTTGGGAAAATGTAGCGTGTGTGAAAGCTACCGCTACTCGGTCACTAAAAGAGCTTTGTTACTGAAAAGCTATTTGATTCAGAAAATAGCGACGCTACCACCAAGCTACTGAGAAATGTAGTTAAACTAGTAACGGCGCTACTTGTAGCGACGCTGCTGCCCAACACTGACTGTATAATCCTCACTGCTTACAGTTTTTAGATAGTCTTTGTCTGATCTATGTTGTTCTCTTTGTTTTCTCATCAGATGTTGGTTTTAAAGTTGGTAGAAGTTCAGGAATGTCCTACTTTGTGCTGCAGATCCATTATGGAGATGTCATTGCTTTTAGAGGTAAGTCCTAATTGAAATTAAATTACTGACATTTATGTTTGATAGAGATTATTTGTGTAATCAGTTACATCAAATTCAGGTATGGTTTGTGAATATTCAGGAGTGTAACCCGGAAAGTCCACAGACTCCAGCTCTGTCACGTTACTGCTGCGCCATGGTTTTGTTCCATCCTCTGCCCGGCATCTACTTCCACTGAAAGAATCTCAGACTCATTTCAGGAGCGTGTTGCTGACTTGTTGTTTAGTCCTTTCTGCGCTTTTACTAGGCCTACCGGCAACATCTCTCTGTTTTGTCCTACCGTAATGCGACGCAGGCAGACTCAGTGGACTTTGCCAATAGAAGTAATTTCAAATACTGCAGTAAAAAATTTCACAACCTTAGCTTTAGCTGGAGTGTTTTATTTCTGATATATTTAGTTTAGTCAGCAGCCATGCGTAAGAAGAAAAAGAAACAAAAGAGGAACAGGACCAAAAATATTCTTTCATACACATCTAACAAGTAAATGTTTTCTGTAGTTTAATATCCATCAGTTTCCATCCACCAAACACAGTACGTCAGGTACTGCATGTCAATGTTTGTGAATGAAAACATGTTGGAGCCTAGAGCCCTGCATTTATTTTTTGAATAACAAACCTACAGATCTGAGCATGTACACTGAAGTTATAATAACTTCCTGTTTTGTGGCAAATCTTCATTCTTTAAAGCCCCACCACGGACATGCCCATTGACGAAAACTCACAGATAGCACAACTTTTCATCGTCACTGCCTTTAGAATGCACAGCAGAAATTTGAAGTCGATCCGATTAATTCCCTAGGACACGTGTCAAACTCTAGGCCCGCCGAATCCGGCCCGACACGTCATTTTATGTGGCCTGCGAAACATTTAAAGATTAATGATTGTCCTAAAATAAAAGTCTACGCTGCCATAAACTCCCACAATGCATGTCGATTTTGTGACACGAGACATGATGACATCCCGCCACTAGATTGCGATGTTTCCACACCCACTACGGTAGTTTTCTGACAAGTGGAGATGAGAAATGTGTTACACACACTCTGAGGTGTTCTGTTATCACTGAAGTTAAATGAGTTAGTGGAAACAGGAGGTTTTCTTTTTACATCAGTCTAAAATGGACAAATTCAGTGACAAAAGTAGACATTTTCCAGGGCTGTAATTTCAAAATACTACATCAGATATATCTGATCTTCAATGAGGGAAAAGCGCCAGCTAAATGAATAAATGTAAATATTTGGCGTGCTAGATATCTGGCAGACGTCAGCGTTGTGTCAGAAATGTGTCGGGGAGCCATTTTGATGCGTTGTTGAGTGGCAACCGCAGATCAACCGCTGATTCACAGCCTGACGGTGGCTGAGCTCGCCGAGCGGCAAATCGTGCTAAAAATCATGTAGTGTGAACCAGGCTTAGGCTACAGTAGCCTATACGTCTGCATTTTTCCAGGTAATCAAACCATCTGTCATTAGTTGGACGTATCCCCTCTGCAAGGCTGTGTGCAGCTGGACTATTTGCTTTATCAAATGCCACATCTGTCCCTCATCTTATTAGCAGCTCACAATTTTTTGTTTTACAATGGTTCTGCACCTCTGGACTGTGAAAAAGTGAAAAGTTACTGTAAAAGGTTATGTTTGATGATATTTGTCTTGTTATTTACTTGAAATGTTTGATCTTTGATGATGGAGTAATGAGTGTTTTTAAATCTGATAAATGTATTTATTTATGTTATAACAACACAGAGAAATTTTCTTACTACGGCTATATTTTTACATCTGATAAATCTCCTTAACTTGAATACATAATCAAATAAAGAGACAGTTATTTAACAATATGTTAAGGAGTAGTTACGTTTATACAGTCTTACAGATGCAACTGGCCCTTTGAGGGTAACCGAAATGCTTATGTGGCCCTTGATGAAAATGAGTTTGACACCCCTGCCCTAGGAGGAGTTTGTTAAAGTACCGACCTTGTAAAAGGCCATAAATGGGCTGAAATTGCATATCAAAATGGCTGACTTCCTGTGGCTCTAAGAGGTTTTTTAGTGCATCTTTGGATGATAAATGTACCACAAAAGTCCTGGTGATTCAGTCTTGCATCATTGAAGGGACACTTCCTGATTCCAGTAGGTGGCACTATGAGGTTGAGTGAATTTTGACCTGTAGTAATACTGGGTGATAGATGGCGCCGTTGTGTCTGGTTCGCCGTCTGGCAACTTTTGTTTTGTTTGTTTGGTGTGTACTGTCTGTACCAAAGACCATTCATTCTCTGTTGGTGTATGATCGTCAAGAGCTACTTAAAATCAAAACTACAGTGGATATTATAGCAAACAGGTTTGTACCTGTTGTAGGCCCGTACGAGGAGCGACATGGTCTGCGCATCTGTGCCTCTCAATTCCGAAGTCCTGGCAGAAGGAATTACAGCAACCTTCGGCCGCTGTGCCGGTCAGCTCATGCGGCTGACATCTCGATTTTACCGACCAAATGTGCACTGATAAATGCAAGGTCGGTAATGAACAAAACTTTCATCCTTCAGGATTTCTTCATCACACAGGCTGTGGATGTACTATTCTTAACAGAAACATGGATTGCCGTGGGTGAGTTCGATGCCTTCACAGAGCTTTTACCTCCTGACTGTACTTTTTTAAATTCCCCAAGGACCACTGGACGTGGAGGAGGAATAGCGACTGTCTTAAAGAGCAGCTCACATTGTAAACTTTTGGCACCATCTGTTTTTTCCTCATTTGAACTAAGCTCGTTTGTCTTAGGCCGGTCGGATCCTTTACTGTGGTATATCGCCTGCCGAAATACAACAAATATGTTATCAAAGAGTTCACTGATTTCTTGGCCAGTATCATGACAGACTATGACAGAGTTTTAATTGTTGGTGATTTTAACGTGCATGTTTGTTGTCCTAAACCACTCACAAAAGCTTTTTTAGATATGATTGATGCTTTTAACTTTTTACAATATGGCAGTGGACCCACACAAGAACAGGGGCATACGTTAGATCTTGTGTTATCTTATGGTTTGCCCATTTTAAATATCCAGACACAGGATGCTGTATTTTCCGATCACATGCCAGTTTTATTTGATTTTAACTTGTCCTGTCTTAAATTTAAACCAACTGCTCCTGCACGCCTAGGCCGTGTGTTTAAGCCGACCACTGCTGCTCAGTTTTCTTGTGCTTTTCAAAGTCAGTCTGACACTGGTCTCTTGGCTGACACAGAGAAATTAACTTCTTCCTTTCTCTCCACATGTGCCAGCATTCTTGACATTATTTCTCCTTTAAAAGTTTTGCGCCCCAGACCTAAATCTGAGCCATGGTTCAATGACACCACCCGTGCAGCAAGGAGAGAGTGCAGGAGAGCAGAGCGCCGGTGGAAGAAAGACAAGCTTCATGTCTCTTATGAAATTTTAAAGGAAAGCTGGAGAATGTATCAAAAAATAGTTACAACTGAAAAGATACCTAAAAGAAAAAATTGTCTAAAATCTAAACAAACCATGTGTCCTTTTTAAAAGCATTGATTGAATTTTAAATTCACCCCAATCCTCCTGTTAGGAAGCTTCTTCTTTAAGTCTGTGAGAATTTTTTACACAATTTTTTAGACATGATTACTCCATTAGAACCCATATTTCCCTACCTGTATCCGACCCCTCTGAAATGATGACCTGTTTAACAGTGTTTGATCAGTTTGAGCCTGTGTCGCATCCTTGCCTCAATAAAATAATTTCACAGCTCAAACCCTCAGCCTGTCCCACAGACATTGTCCCCCTTCACCAAGGAGGTCTGGACCACTATAGGGCCAAGTGTCTTCAGGAATTGTCCCAGCTTATTGTAAAGAAGCAACTGTAGCAAAATTTGAACATTACAATTTTAGCTAACTACAGACCGATATCAAAGCTTCCTTTTATTTCTAAAATCTTAGAATAAACTGTATTTGCACAACTACAATCCTTTTTAGATACAAATTGTATTTTAGAAAATTTTCAGTCTGGTTTTAAAGCTTCATAGTACCGAGACTGCACTTTTAAGAGTTTTTAATGATCTTTTACTAACTACAGACCGTGGTGACTCTGCTATTCTTGTGCTTTTAGACCTTACTGCTGCTTTTGATACAATTGATCACGCCATTCTCATCTCTCGCCTTGAGCACTGTGTGGGCATCCGAGATACTGCCCTGCAGTGGTTCAGATCGTATTTATCTGAGCGATGTTTTTATGTAAAACTTGGTGACTTCACGTCATCTACCGCTCCCCTTCTCTGTGGAGTTCCTCAGGGCTCAGTTCTTGGACCACTATTGTTCTCCTTATACCTTCTCCCTCTTGGAAACATTTTTTAAAAATATGGTATTTCCTACCACTTATGTGGACGACTCGCAAATCTACTTGCCCCTTAGAAGAAATGCAAACAGTTCCCTGACTCCTCTACTTGAATGTCTCATGGATATTAAGGCCTGGATGTCTTTTAATTTTTTTAATTTAAACAAAGCCAGTAGTCACCAATTTAGGCATCAAAATTGACAGTGATTTTAAACTTGACAAGCAGATAAACACTGTGGTTAAATCCAGTTTTTATCATTTGAGGCTATCTAAAATTAAACCTGTTTTATCTTTTCATCTTCTTGAGCATGTGATTCATGCTTTTATCTCGACCCGTTTGGACTACTGTAATGCACTTAACATCGGTGTGAACCAAACCTCCCTCTCACGCCTGCAGTTAGTCCAAAATGCAGCTGCTCGTCTTTTAACAGGAACCCGGAAACACAAACACATTACCCCCATTCTGGCCTCGATCCACTGGCTCCCTGTACATTTTAGAATACATTTTAAGATTTTAATGTTTGTTTTTAAGTCACTTAATGGGTTGGCACCTCAGTACATCTCTGAGCTCCTGCACACTTACACCCCGCCAAGGTCACTGAGGTATGCTGTTCAGCTGCGGCTAAACGTGCCCAGGACCAGGCTGAAGACCAGGGGCGATCGCTCTTTTTCAGCAGTTTCCCCCCAAATGACTTACCTCCTCACATTAAAGTGGCGCCCAACCTCCACACCTTTAAATCTCGTTTAAAAACATACTTTTATTCCCTGGCTTTTAATTCACCATGAGAGCTGCTGTGGTCTTCGTTGTCGCTGTCAGTGTTGGTGTTATTTGTATTGTTTTGTTTTTATTTATCATGAGCATATTCTATATCATCTCTGTAAAGCACTTTGGTAACCTTGTTGTTTTTTAAATTGTGCTATATAAATAAAGTGGATTGTATTGGATTGGATTCTTTAATGGCGAAGCATCGAAATTTGCCGCCACACCACGGACACACCCTTACCCAAAAACTCATTTTACAACATGGCATCGTCAATGTGTTAAGGGTTTTCTAGGACAGTTTTGAAGCTGATATGGCCAACCTGCTAGGAGTAGTCCATCATAGCGTGAAACGTGACATTTTGTGTTGCCAGCAGGTGGCGCTATGAGTGAATGTTGGCATGTGGATGTGTTCAAGACGGGGCTGTCATAGATGTCAAATTTGGTACAGATGTGAGCATGTACACTGAAGTTATAACAACTTCCTGTTTTGTGGCGACTTGTCGATTTTCGAAGCAACGCTCGTGGATGAAAACTTATCGTTTGCAATGGGTTTAGACTATGTGAACCAGCAGCGCTTGGATCAAACACTCGGCAGGTGGTCCATGTTCCGAGCTGTCAGACTCCGGCAAGATGAGGAGGTGGACCCGATGATTCTTGGTGCACAAACACAGTCAAGATGGACTCTGTTTCCCAAATGTCAGACTGTATATTGTGAAGATGAAACTTTCATATTCACCGTGGGAGTTTTCCTTGTTTGTCCTGGTTGCTGTTTACATTCCACCTCAGGCCTGTGTTAGTGAGGCGTTACTACACCTGGCCGACCAGATAACTAACATGGAGAAAAAACATCCAGACTCCCTGCTCATTGTTCTTGGAGACAGAGCAAACCTCAGCCACAAACTTCCAAAGTACAGACAGCATATTAAGTGTCCCACCAGGGACACTAACACACTGGACCACTGCTACACAACATTAAAGGACGCCTATCGCTCTGTTCCCTGTGCAGCCTTGGGACTCTCTGATCACTGTCTGGTTCATCTTATCCCGACACACAGGCAAAAACTGAAATCTGCTAAACCTGTTGTGAAGACTGAAAAGATGGACCAACGAGTCAAAGCTGGAGTTACAGGCCTGCTTTGACTGTACTGACTGGAGTGTTTTTGAGGCTGCAGCCGCTGACCTGGACAAACTAACTGACACTGTGACATCTTAGATCAGTTTTTGTGAGGACATGTGCTTGCAGACAAAAACCTTTCGCATATACAACAACCAAAAACTCTGGTTCACATCGAAACTCAGGCAGCTTCGTCAGACCAAAGAGGAGGCCTTCAGAAGTGGAAAGTCCTATACAACCAGGCCAGGAACACTCTGACTAAGGAGGTCAAAGCAGCAAATAGATGCTTGCGGAAAAGCCAAATAACAGCAGTCACAGTCACACCTCTCACACCTCTCCCCCGCTCCACAACCATCTTCAAACAGTCACCTTCCCCCTCTGACACGCTGCTATCCCCCTCTCTGACCCCTCACCTGGACTCATGATCATTGCAGACAATGTGCGACACCTCTTCCTGAGGCAGAAGATCAGGAAGACTCCTGGGCCAGATGGTGTGTCTCCATCCTGCCTGGGACGGTGACAAGTTGGCCTACTGACGGGAGGTTGATCAGCTGGCTCTCTGGTGTGGCCAGAACAACCTGGAGCTTAACACGCTCAAAACTGTGGAAATGATTGTGGACTTCAGGAGGAGCCCCACTCTGCCCCCCATCACCATACTCAACAGCCCTGTGTCTGCTGTGGAATCCTTCAGGTTTCTGGGATCCACTGTTTCCCAGGACCTGAAGTGGGAGCCCAACACTGACACCATCATCAAGAAGGCCCAGCAGAGGAGCTCAACCTGCCTAAGGAGCTGCTGATCCACTTCTGCACAGCTATCATCCAGTCTGTCCTCTGCACGTCCATCACTGTCTCAACGTCCACAAGCCCATTGGTCTCACATCTCTTGTCATGACAGCCCTAGAGAAGCTGGTTCTACATCATGTGTAGTACTGGTGCTGTCCTAGAAAGTCTCCAGTTTTGTTACCATACTAGAAGGGGTGGATAATGCTAAACCTTTCCATAATAGAAACCATTAACAGTCAACTAGAGAAGAGCAGAGCCTTCGCTAGGCTCCTATTTTCTATATTCTTCTGTAAAAGCATCCATCCCAAACAGAACATAGCCCACCCTCTATGACAGAGGTCACTAATAGGCGGACCGCGGTCCGGATCCGGACCCAGCCGCCGTCCTCTCCGGACCGCCGACCTACAGCACATTTATTATTGAGACTTACTACCTCGTGACGGAGCGTTTCTATTTTAACCCGCGCAGCTTTTCTAGCATTTACTGTACTGGTTTAGAGGACCAGGAAACTCACAGACCAATCGCATGTGCTCCAATCGTCTCATGTGACGCTGCTCAGCCAATCAAATCTGTGCATACCGATGCTTGAGAGTCGAGTCCGCGAGATTCACCAGAGACGTTTTGGAAACACACCCGAATTGAGGAGACGAAAGATAAAAGAGATTTCACATGACTTTTAATCAAGAATGTACAGATTTTTACATGTACATTCCTCCCACGGACAGTTCAAAACCAGAATATCTCATAGATCTCCAACATGCTAGCTGGAGCTCACGTTTCTCACTGAACAACAGAAAGTAGGAAAGTGGTAGCTCTGTAAGAGGAAATGAAAGAGAAGAGGAGGCATTACAGCTGTTCATTTGTTATGATGTGTTGAGTGTTTATTATAAAATTGGTTAAGACTACACTTCATCACTTCAAGCTACACTTTTTATTACATTTTTTCTAAAAATTAGGCACTTTAGTTTACTTAAATTTAGAATTTATTATTTGAATAGTTATTATTTATTATCCCTCCAGTTTGATGTGAAAACTGAAATATTATTTGATTTGACAGTCCGTTGTTGACTAAAAACATGTGTTGATACAACTATAGGTTATAGTACTGAATGATAATGCAAGTTCGTCGTTTTGATGTTCCGGACCTTTGCTTCAGGAAATTTTCTCTAACTAGACCTCTTTGAAATCTAATTGAATACCCCTGCTCTATGATGTCATGGAGTGGTGTGGCAGTGCTCTGCTGGAGTTGAATGTCACCAAGGTTAAGGAAATGGTCATTGATCACACAGCTCTCTTGCTTGTAATTGCGTCTCTTTCTTGTCAGTTTTTACTTGTGTCCAAAATCAAATAGCCTTCCTGGATTAATACAGTTTTGATTTGAATGAAAGTTTGTACACACATTAATGCCCCGCTCAGAATGAATTATTACTTTTTATTTAGTGCCACCATCAGGTCAAATTTTCTATTTTATCAACACTCATAACACATAACTAAATACCTGCAAAGCTAATAACACTCCCATCAGCCTTAGCTGTACTGTGTGTTTAGTGTTAATTAGCAAATGTCTGCATGTTACCACGCTAAACTAAAATGCACTTCTGCTAGAGCGTGAGCATGGCTGTGGATTCGTAGTTGTTTTTTTTGTTCTACTTACAAGTTTATTAGGAACACCTGTACAGTGTAATGCAATCCAGTACAATATGCCTGCAATAAAACCTACCATTATGAACCTCATGCTGTTCAGTGTTTGCTACAGTATCAGAGAAGTATTGATTCAACTCTTTGAGAATTTGTGTGGTTATGAATAGGACTGTATGCTGTTGAAAAGGTGTTTGTAATATATCTTTCACTTCCATTTATGTAAATGTCAACTTTAGTGATAATAATTGTCTTTGTTCTGCAGACCATCATAGAGATTGCTCAGGACTTACCTTAAGAATGACATTAAAACCGTAAGTATTTGCTTAAACGTATTGAACTTTCTGTTGAATGCTGAAATAAGAACTGTGAAATTGCCTGTTGCTGGTATGTGGTGAGTATGAATAAAGAGTGGCATGGTGTTTAGCTTGTTCTTTCTGAGACTACTGAATGTGTTTCTCCTCTGGAGCCCCTTGAATAATGTACATACAGATAGCTTGCTAAAGATGGAATAGGTAGGAAATGTCAGGGGAAAAGTCATAACTATTACCAAACCTTTACATCCTCTTACCCTGTGTGTGGCTCTTTGTACCTTCCTCAAAGGCAGCCATTCACTGCTGGCATATACCTGCTCATGTCGGTGGACACAGTTATTCTTCCAGGAAAAAAAGGTATGTTTGTTGCATTTTTTCCTAGATGAGCGTTTGTCAAGCTCAACAATATAAAATTCCTCTTTTAGGCTTGTCTGGAAGACATGTTAATTCTATCATTTCTGGCAGAGTTATATAACTTATAATATACACTTGATTATTGCCCCTCTGTGGAAACTTAAACACACATCGTGATAGCAATCAACAGGAGTTAAAAAAGGGACAAGTCTAGAATGGAATGGGGGGACAGACACTGGATAATGGGAGGCAAATTTGAAAATAACATAAAAATGTTATTAAAATTAAATTAAAATAAATTGCACATTATTAATAGTTATATTTAGTGTTCACTGTAAGAAATGACAAGTCAATAAATACAATAAGCAATAAACAAATATGTCTTTCTACCCAGATCCTACAAATATTTTGTTTTTATTTAATTTATAGTGCAAATGGGACAGCCTGACTGAGAGCTGCAAAATTACAAACTAAGGACTAAGAATCTGCAGCACAGAGGTTACTTTCTCTCTTCAACAGCTATTAATGAGTTGATCACATCCTTTAATGTCTTTGTTGTATGCAGGGTTCGAGATAATCTGAGCTTCATGGGGGTCTCTAATATAACTAACGTAATCGGCTTAGATAGATAGCCAATAAGATTAGAGAGAGAGACAGAGACTTCATTGCTCATTACGTGGTCCAACACTTACTCTCTCTCGTGCGTGCGCAGACACACAAACGCAGAAGTCACTACTTGGCCCGGATCTCTGCAATAAGAAGTTTAAATAGCCTGTAACATGCCAACAAAGACGCCCCGCTCAAGGAGAGACCACAATTCCGCCCTTTACATAGAAGTGTGTCATTTTCAATTTTCAGTTTCATTTTATATACTGCTCGCCGCAGACACACAGTAGCAAACGTATTATCTTATGTACTGATCTACTAATTGTAGGATGCATCATAAAGCCAATAATACAAAAAAATAGACAGCAGCAGAATCTAGTACAGACTACAACCAGTGCAAGAGCCCATTGATTATACACTGTGTCATGTAAACCAGCAGTTGTGCAACAATTTTCTTACACCACATAACACAATCCTATTAGGTTATAGAAAACGGTAAAGGCTGTTCTCTTACCATTACGCAGATAAAACAGACCAAAGCGGTCTGTTTTCTGGAGGCTGTGGTCGCGGTCCTGGGACCCATGATGATGAAATTCCGATGTCCTTTTTTTATCAAAGATTGTACGAAAGGGAGAGGGTCAGATAGCCAAAAGCACCTCAAGTCTTTTCTCAGAGAGTAAAAGTGTCTTGGCTTCCTTACACACAAAGCATCCAACACCATCCTCCTTTTGCAAACAGCCTTCCAGCAACTTTCCTTCCAGCATCGCCACTGATTGTGACCCCAGTTCTTTGGTGGTCTTTCTGTTGTACCAACCTCCTCATCCTGCTCCTCTTCTAAAAGATCCAAGTGTTTGGTGGTTCCAGATTCAGCAGGTCTGGTAACATCCTCTGCAGCAACAAAGCTAGTGCTTGCCTTAACACTAGCAGGTTAATGTTTGTGTGTGTTGTGGTGGTCCCACAGGCAGCAACATTCAGAGCTAGCATAGCATCATCCATAGCAGCCGAGATTGTGCTAGCTGGCATGCTAGCAGGTGAAGCTGTTTTTTGTTTCCTAGTGAAGAAACTGAAGCTGGCCAGGCTTGTAGCTGCAAGGTAACTCACGTGTCTAAAACAAACTATAACTTTAGTATTCAGTATAGCATCATGTTGGCGGGTAGTTCATGTTTGCGCAGTCTCAATTGTAACTCAATTAGCGTTGCATCAATATTGTACTGTGCTCCATAGTGAATGTAAATGCTCCGTACTTGTATAGCGCCTTTCTAGTCTTTTCGACCACTCAAAGCGCTTTTACACTACATCTGCATTCACATTCATACACTGAGCCTAAGGGCTCAAACGGAAACTAACATTCACACTCATTCATACACTGGCGGAACAGCCACCAGGGGCAATCCGGGGTTCAGTATCTTGGCCAAGGACACTTTGACACGCAACTAGGGGGAGCCAGGGATTGAACCGCCGACCTTCCGATTAACGGCCAACCCACTCTACCCCCTGAGCCACAGCCGACTGGCTGCCTGGTGCATAATGAAAGTCATGCCATGCACAGCGTAGTTCATTTTGGAAAACTTTATTTTACACATTTACCTGACGCTTTTATCCAAAGCGATTTACAATTGCTATATATGTCAGAGGTCGCACGCCTCTGGAGCAAGTAGGGGTTAAGTGTCTTGCTCAGGGACACATTGGTCACACTGGCCCTCATTTATCATTCTTGTGTAGACACGGGCGTATATGTTGGCGTAAGATTATGCTTACACTTCTCTCGCCGCGTGATTTATGAAGATGTGCGTATCTTTGAAATCCAGGTGTGCGTAATACCTGCCCTTGATAAATGCCGCGGCTGAAAACGATCGTCATTAGAGTAACACACCCCTATATATTCAAGTTTACGCTTCCCCCACGCCCTCATTTTACGCCATGGACACACAGAAGACGGCAAAGAAGAGGAACTTCTCCGACGTGGAGATCGAGACCATCACCAGGGAAGTGGAAAGAAATAAAATTGTTTTATTTGGGAGTTTAATTAGTGGGATTAAAGGCGCCCACAAAAACAAAATATGGACCCAAATTACGACTTCTGTTAATAGTGTGTGGGTTGAGAAACGCATTCCAGCAGAGGTAAGAATGTTTTATTGCTCAATATCCAAAAGGGGAAAAGAAATGTTAGGAAACGAATACATTTTGAAAAATAAATTTGCTGTTAGTACTCACCTAAAAGATAACCATGACCCCTCAATGCGCCCACCTGCAGCCGTCTGCGCACGCTGCTGTGCTAAAAAATGAAGGCATCGTGAGTGCCTCCAGGCCATCGTGCCACAACATTTAGTAGGCAGAGTCTGGCATCACAAATAATGTGCACATTGACTGAATGATAATTTTTGCGGTTGATGTAGCCATCAGCCATCATTGAGAATTGGTGTACAGTGAAAATCCAGTTTAAATAGCTGTTTGGATGAGCAAATGACCTATCACAATGCATTATTTTACAGCAGGTGTTTTGAAACAATTAGCATTTAATTTAGTATCACGTCACATGTATTGGGGTGTACAATAGTGATGATGATGTGATGTGGAGTACCATTCATTCACATTAATAATTGCATGACAATTTGTAATATTATTATTATTATGATTTTTATTATATTTATTTATATTATTATTTTATTATACGTTTATTGTTATTTAGAAGAAGAATGTCATTATTATTATTTAAAAGAAGAAGAATGTAATTTTTATTATTTTGGCAGTCTGAGTTATTTTTTGTTCATTGAAAGCCTTTCAATACTGAACCCAGTCCGTGCGCACCTGCCGGGCCTAACCCTGAAATGTCAGGTTAAGCACACAGGGTCCACTGGGTATAGCTTTTGCGTTGAAGCGGCTATAATTCCTACTATTGCAACATCAAGGGATGATGCTTACATTTTGTTTAATGCAAGATATTAGTCAAACGCTGAGCAAGAAAAACATAGACAAACCAATCTTGTGTTGCTTTAAAAACATTTTATTATTCTCTTCAAAATGTCAAGAAAAGCAAAACACAAAAAAAAAAAAAAGAAAAACCTTAGATGGCATTTTAAATGCGCATTTGGGTGCTGACTTGTGGCTGGTTCCGTGAATCTGCAGCGTGCATTTTTCTGTTTTTAGCCAATAATATAGTCAGTTTGACCTGCAACTTTTATTTGTGTCACAGCCTATTTTTGTTTGGATATACACTGAAATAAAAGCAACCCCAAATAAACTACAAATGAAGGAATACGTATGCCTACAAATCAAATGCTTTGGTAAAGTCACACAAATTAAACATTGAAGTCCATGTTGCACAAAAATAAACACTGAAGTTTATAATTACTATGTTGGTTTTTTTTTTACATTGGGTCATAATACATCTTTTAGTTTGTCAGTGCGTTTTGTGGTGTTAGGAATTGTTTTTCTGCACATTTCCGCACTAACTCAAAACATTCGTACATGTACACCACCTCCTGAGCTGGCGTAGGATTTGAGCATGCCGTACGCCAACGTCCATATTGATAAATCTCAAAGTCACTGTGGTTTTGGGTGTACGCCAGGTATACACTGGAAATTTGGTGTACGCACTTTTCATAAATGAGGGCCACTGTGTCTCACAGTGGATTCAAACCCAGGTCTCTCACACCGAGGGCATGGGCCTTATCCACTACTCCATCACCACCCCACACATTTTAACCTGTTAAATGTTATCTTGTTAATGTAAATAGTACTAATTTCAATGAAAAATATGTTGTTTGTGATTCAAAATAATGGTTGTTGATAAATGAACTAGAGACCCCCACAAGATGCATGATTTTACTGCTTCCATGGGAGCTCAGACCCTCCTTATGGGAGCTGAGCTCATGAGCTCCCACGTAACTCGAACCCTGTATGCAAAACAAAACAGTGTAGCCACAGTTGTGGACCTGCAGCCTAAAGCCATTATAATGTCAGGTGGCAGGATGCAGGCTGCCTTTCCCCGTTATTAGACATGAATTGTTGGACCGTGACTTTAAATTACCCTTTTTAAATGTGTAGTCCTTGGTCCTGCGTGTTCTTTCATGAAGCAATGGGAGAAGATCCAAAGGTCCAAATTAATCAGTTTTATTACAAGTAAATGAATAAAGCTTACAGAGCTCTGGGTCGATCTTCCTTTATCTGACAAACATCAAGCTGTATCAGTTCATGAAGTCTGACTGGCTATCTCTCCCTGACCCAGTGTTTTAGTATACATCGTCATGTAATAAAACAGTAAAACAAAAGTGTAGGTCAGTCCATGATTGGCCCAAGTCCTCTGACCCCAATGTTTGTCCTCTGACTCCATGAATCACCATGCTGTTGCTGGGCAGATTAGGAGCGTAGTTCCTGAAATATATCTTGGAGAAGAGATGTTTTGTACCACATTCCAAACTACCCCTCACCCATTGTTCAAGTCTCCTTATGTCTCCCCATGCAGAGACCCCCTGTTTCTGCACCTCTCCAAAAAACACACACATCAGGTCTAGTTTAATAAATGATAAACCAACATATAAACTTCTACCTATAAAATACATCAGAGATCAATTTAAGAAAACACAAAAATAGTGGTTACCCTGAGTAATACAAAAATCATACTATCATAATCTCTCAGAATTTAGTTTGAGAGTCCTTTTAAAACTTTAACTTGGCTAATTGATGGAATCATCATCATAAAAATCTGAGATAACATCAAATAGCATTAAAGAATTGCAGAAAAGAGAGTTTGTTGCTGATTCAGTTCAAAATATGTCTTCTCGCCTCCACTTCACTGATCAGCATCTCGATCTGGCACTAAGTGAAGTTTCTCTTCACTGTTTTGCAACAGGATCAGCCGTTGTTATTTGGACCTTAGGACGTGACGCTGGCGTATTTATGTTCATTTCTATAGTAATTTATGGGAGGAGCCAAGGCGGGGTATGTGGCTCGTGCATGCGCGCATGTTGATTGGGATGGATAAAGGAAAGGTGTGCAGGACCTGGCCACACGCCATGTGGAGATTTCTGCGTACACATTTCAAATTCTGTGAGTACGCCATCTTTCAGTATGAGAGCCGTGCAGTCTTTTATACGTGAGGTCCCTGGTCTGGTTTGTAAGGTCTTTGGATGTATAAAACCTCTTAAACCCTGCGGGGTCGCCCGCTTTAGATGCTTCTAAGCTGCTTAGATGTTAATACAAATATTAATGTTTAAACGTATGATCAATGTCAGTATGGACATGCTACACATTAGATTCATTCAGTTCATTTAATGGAAACAACGAGCCCCCATAGTCTAATTCATATAGATTTACTGGTGTAACCTGCATGGTACAAGAAAAAAAATTGCAGACTCCCGTTACCTTTTGAAGCGCTCGTTAAGTCCGAATGTGTCCGTTCCTTGATTACTTCTATTCTTTTAGTCTGTAAGGGTGCACCGATCAAAAGAATCAGAACAGCTTTTCATAAAAATGAATCCAAGTTATGAATCCTGGCATGTGAAGTCCATCGCTCTCGGTCTTCTAACTTCAGCCACAGTTCTCTCAACCTGCACCCTGTTGTTGTTTTCGTTACGTTGCTGCCTTCAAATTAAAAGCGCATACGCTGTCTGTCAGAGCTAGATCAAATGACTGGTGCGTATTTGATATTATTAGATAATTTTTATATAAGTAATGTTCTTTTTGAATTAAACTGTTTCATAGTTGCCTATTTCAGATTTGTGCAAGAGGGATTTAAGGCCTGTCCCATATGGACGCCTGTCCAAAAATAAAGGCAGAGTCAATTCAGTGATTTTAGCAAATAAACGGCCGGGCTATTAATCAAAGTTTTACGGCATCCCACCGTTGACACTTCACCATTGCATTTTGAGTGGTCGCAAAGACTAGAAAGGTGCTATGCAAATTCAGAGCATTTATATTTACATTACATTGAATGATGCATCACAATGTGACGTGGCCGATGTGTGTGGTGCTTTAGTAAGACATGGTTCTTACTAAGACTGTTTGTCTTGAATCAAAGATAAAACACTGATGCATTTGCTTTATTTTGCTTTGTGGAAGATGTTTAATTAAGGCAGTTCAGAATTGGCATTATTGCCAAGCAGAAAAAATAGTATTACACTGGAGTTACCCAGCCCTAGCTGCAAAGAATTTAACAGATCCACAATTGGTGTATAGCACACTTTTCACGGTCCACATTCAAATGTTGCTGCTGTAATGGGAGGGGCAGACAGGGGGGTGTACAGTACAGTATCACAGATTGGGCCTGCCTTGACATCCCTTAATATTTCTTTGTTAGTTACAAATGCAGACATCGCCTGTGATTACACTTCATATCCGATCTACCCGTTTGCCTTCAGGACCCACACACACCAACTTGGTGAGTCATAACCAGAGAATTTAGCAGTGTGTTTCAGATGAACTTTTATCAGGATCAGTGGAAGTCTAGATGAGTGTTTCTGTCACAGGTAAAGTGGTCAGTGGCTACAGGATCCGAGATGGGAAGTGGAGCCTGATTGGGAGACAGTCCCCTCAGCTACCACAGGTACGTTAAAAACTCTGAAAAAAGCTGAATTGTTAATGCATGCATTATATATACTCTGAATGTCCCTGCTTCGAGTCTGTCTTGGGGACCTTTGTTCCGTGTCATACCCGTCTCTCTCTTCCACATGGTGAATGCCAAAAAAATAAATTTCCAACATTAATATGTAATGCTTAATATAATGCCTATGGATGGACATTTCAAGTAAAACTACTAGTCGATAGCCACTGAGAACTGTGTCAAACATGTTTTACACGTAAAACAAAGGAAAATATATTTTTAAGACAAAACCATAGTTGCATAAACTATTCAATTTCTTTTGAAAATCATGACCCACCCCTAATAATAACCCAGTGTTTGCTGTTCCCTGGGGCGTCCCATAATTGTCTACAGAGGAGGCGTAGCTTAAGAGCAGCAGCAGCAGCTTGCAGCTAGTGCTCGGTTGTGTCTACAACTGAAGCACAGTATTGACAATAGGTCACTGTTTTGGAGCCCAGTTGCTGTAGTTAAGAAAACACACTTGAAATGTAAAAATACACATAGGGTTGCAGTTATTAGCTTATAGCATGAGTAAAAGGCAAGTTCTTCTTCTCCTCTTGCCTCGGACATCCCAAGTGATAAGATTTCCCAAAATGTTGAACTATTAATCAACAATTTGATAAGCTATTTATCAAGCAAAATGCCAAATATTCCATGGTTTGTATGGGTTTTCTGTGTTCTGCATTTCTTTGTCTGAAAATTATCCAAGAATAGCAGTTTTTTAGTTAGAGGTATGTTTACTAATTACCGAGCAGTGAATGTGTTTTCTCTACAGGCTTTCTATCCTGCCAACAAGGAGGTGAATGTCAAGTATGGGGACACGATTGCAACCAGATGTGTGTTTACTGGTGAGGGCAAAACCTCCAAAACTTATATTGGGTGAGTTCTGTTGTAAACCCGGTGCACCTAATGCGTTTTCACACTGCAATGTAGATCAACAGTAACTCAAAAGTACCATTTCATTTTCTAAGGTTTTTAACTCGGTCCTATTCAGAAAACTATATTATATATTATAATATAGTTGTGTATATATGTCATGTTTACTCCCCTTGGACTGTGTTTGTGTTGAAATATACAGATGGGTGACAAGTTAAAAGAAAAGCCAATATGAATTGTCTTATGGATCAGGCCACCACGAGTCTCCAGAACAGCTTCACTGCTCTTTGCCGAGTCTGTGAAACTCTGTTGGACGGATGAACACCATTCCTCCACAAGATATTTTTATTAATTAATTTGTGATTTTTTTTTTTTATAATCCCTTATTTATTTTCAATCTTTATTTAATCAAGTAATGTCATTGAGCTAAAGAACTCTTTTGCAAGTGAGAACAGCAGATAGAAATGTCAGACATAAAAGGACATCACTAAATAGATCTGATCAAAGTTCATATCATTTGGGCTTATGGTGATGGTGGTAGGGAGCATAAAATCTTCCATAGGTGTGAAACTGGGTTGAGATCTAGTGACTGTAAAGGCTGTCGAATTTTAAACATGTCATTTTCACATTCACCAAACCATTATTTGAGCCCTGGTGCATAGAAGCATCTGCATTTGATATGTTTCACCTCCCTTTTATTCAGGTTTTCCTTTAATTTGTCCCCCGTCAAGAGCTTACTGTGGTGTTATTGTAGTCATGGTCTTGTTTCCTCTGCCTCACCTTGTTTCTTTACACTTGCTTCCTGATCACTCATGCAGTGTTACAGCTTTATACATACTATATGTACTGTATAGACTGAAGAGTGAAACAAGCATTATAACCTGGCGTTCTGTATTAAAAATGCAAGGGTCTACTTTGTAGTGGTTGTGTTATATCAGTTATCATGAGATGATGAAATGCTTTCCAGAATGACCAGTTTGAGTGATACATCCATTAATCTAATAAGGAAATTGTGCTTGCACTCGTTTATTTGGCCATCACAGTACGTTGCCAGATGGCTGAATTTATCTGCAAGGGTCTGAAGGTAACATTGAACTGCAGAGACTGATAAAATATTGGCCAGATATGGCTTGAGTTTGTAGAGAAGGTCTTGGTGATGAGGGTATAGCACTGTTGCTCACTGTTAAAATAAAGGCCATTACCCTTTTTGCATAGAGTAAGTGACTTATTAATCCCCTGTGCTTTTCTGTTTTGTCTGCAGTGGTACCTCTGATGATGAAATGTGCAACTTCTATATAATGTACTACATGGACAGCAAACATGCCATCCCCTACATGAACTGCATGGAGACGAGCTCCAAAGAACTGTTTCAGCATATTCCGAGCGAGGCTAATGTCCCTATCGCTGTCAGTCCAGGTCATTTGAACTCTATGATGCAAATGGGACATTCAACAGGTACTGAGGCATCAAAATTTCATTATGTTGCATACCTCTAACCCAAAGTTATTTAATTTAATTAGGCCCCAAGCATGAAACATGCAAGGACCCTATTGAAACTGAAGGATTTATTAGGGCCCGAGCATGTAAACCAGCGAGGACCCTATTTAATTTTTTTTTCTTCTTTTTTTGCTAAGTAATCGCAATTTTGGCTGCCTTAACATGCTCCAAAATAGAGCCCGACCAATTTATCATTTTGCAGATATTATTGGCTGATATAAGCTTCTTGCCGATATATCTGCATCAGCGTTTATAACCTCAGTCTACCTGAGCTCAGAACCGGCTCTGCCGGAGCTACAGTGAGAAGCCCCTGGTAGCTCTCACACTCCTGTTCCTGGTGAGTTGGTCTTTTGTCACGTCAGTTACATGACTTAAACAATAATAAAAATAACCCTCATCACTTTTCTTCCTCACTTGATAATACTCCCATTTTTTACTGCCCTCTGCCGGCTCACAGCAGTGTGTTTAATGTTACGGTATCCTAGTTTTGGAGGCTACACTGCTGACAACCGGGATTGTAGATTCATTTCAGTTTGGCAGTTCTAGTGACCGGTCCTCACATTTCTCTCTAACGCTGCCTGTTGCTAAATTAGCCACAAAGCTAATGCTAATGTTTATCAGTGGAGTAGGCCAACATTAACGAGCGATTAAACCATATATCATAGAGCCAGAAGTTTGTTAAGAAATTGTTTCTGTAGCACTGGATAGAATTAACAGAATGCAGGTGATAAACTAGATGTAGAAAGTATTCATCGTGGCAGATTATATGCAAGGTAATAACTACTGCATGACAAAAAATATATATACATATTTGCCTATGTAGGAGAGCACTGTTTATCATTATTATGATAGATATTATTTTTAGTAGTACTATATTGGTATTTATTATAGTTTCGCTGGCCCCCACAATACATACACTATTTAATTTAATGTTCATTAGTAGTAGTACTCTATAGTGTATAATAAATCAGATATTTTATGTGTTCTGTAGTTTTATTCATTTGACTCTTATTTATCTGAACTTTAATATATTTTGTTATACTTTTGTTCAAAGTACTATTTGTAACAAAGTTAAACTGCATTATGTCATGGTATCTTGGTGAGGTCTCAACAACAATGTTAGGGATAATCTTTGTTTATGTTATGCGCTTCTTAAAATAAGGGGGGAAAGAATATCGTCCGATATATCGGCTATTGGATTTTAAAATCATAAAATATTGAAATCGGTATCGGACTTAAAATCCCATATCGGTCGGGCTCTACTCAAAAACTTACCAAAATTTGTACAAAATTCAAGGGTGGCAAAAATTTACATATCATATGGTGTCCGCGAATGGGCGTGGCAAAATGGCTCACTGGCACCCCCTACAGAGCAGCCCGGGCCAGCTTTCACCAATTTGTACAAAATTTTTGTGGCAGTTGTATCATGTCCCTGAACACATCTAAAGGCCAAAATTCACCCAACCTCTTAGCACCACCTACTGGTATCAAGAAGTGTCCCTTCAACTATGCAACCCCCATGCACTGAATTACCTAGATGCACGAAATCTTTGGGTCACATGAATAAACAAAACACAAAAAAGCCTCTTGAAGCCATTTTGATTTAAAAGTGCAATTTCAGCCCATTTGTGGTCTTTTACGGGGTCTATACTTTAACAAACTCCTACAGAATTAATCGGATCAACTTCATATTTTTGCTGTGCATTGTAAAGGCATTGATGATGAAATTTGTGCTGTTGACGGGTGTGTCCGTGGCGAGGCCTCAAATATTGATGATTCGCCATGAAACAGGAAGTTGTTATAACTTCAATGTACATGCTCAAATCTGTACCAAACCTTACAGGTTTCATGACAGTCCTGCCCTCAACACAACTACAAGCCAAAATTCACTCAATGCCGTTGCGCCACCTACTGGCAACAGGCTGTAAGCCTTTTGTGACAAATGTCATTTGATTTAGATGGCATTTTAACAGTGGGTTCCACACTTCACATACTTGTAAACAACATATAATTAGCGAGTGTCCTCTAGCGCCACATAGGGGACATAGAAAGTGACGATAAACTCCTTCATGACCTGTCCAAAACGCACGATAATTCAGAGGTTCTGAATCTGCAGCTCACACCCCAAGTGCACTGTACAATGCGAGGGCCCACCCAATGCTGCTTGCAGCTTTAATATTTAATGTATTTTTTTTTCTGTTCTGAAATTGAATGTATGCTTATCTATATATAAAATAATATATATAAATAAGAATAATTTTCACACCTTTCTCCATGTATGCCTCTTTGTCTTGATGGATTTATCTTACAGCTTCCATTTTCAAAAGAACCTGCCTGTCTCTAACTAAACTTTGTTTTCCCTCCAAAGATGATCAAGATGACAGATCGTTGTTGGATACAAACAAGGCAGAACAGGTTCTGGGTCAAGGTGAGTTGTTGGACAATGAGCTGCACAACTGTGAAAGTATTTACCCTCCTCTACCTTAAACACTTTTCGTCGACATCATCCACATGAAATCGCTACTAGAGGTCAAAAACTCTACAGAGAACTTTAATTTCCTTGTAGCACAATTGGGCATCCGGGTTGGTGATTGCTCTGTGTTCACATAGGGACACAGTGGTCCAGAACAATCCAAGTAAATTTGCAGGCAAGAGTAAGCAGAAAACTGTACGGTCTTCCTAAAGCTTGGGTGCTTCCAGAAGACGTTACTTTGCTCAGTATTCTGGACAGTGTGTGAGCCTCTGTGCATGTTCTATGAAGGTGTTACTGGAGCAAAACAACTGAGCAGCAGTGACAGTGGATTTAGATAGCAATACATTTGTATAAGTAAAAGGAGTCACATACTACAAAATACGTACAAATACGAGGTACAAACTTGTAGATTTTTTTCACCTACAAACCTTACCAAATTCTTCATTGCAGGTGCACAAATCATATTCTGCAAATACTGCACTGTTAAAGAAAGACATAGGCTCATATTTTTGCTACAGACAAAAAAAGGCCATCAACACAACTTTGCTTTAATTTAATATGATTCAAAATTGTATTAAACACAAGAACAGAATCACTGCTTTCCCAATAAATATAACAAATATAGGAATGTGCATTAAGGGTTAATTTGTTAGTTCAAAAGTAGCAACACAAAAGTAACACAAAAAATAATCAGTCCTCCATGGAAAAGAAAAACACACCAATTCCACTGATGCTCAGGAGATGGGTACCAGTGATCTTCTGAGCAGTTTTAATCACCCGCTGCAGAGCCCTCCGGTCATGGGCCGTGCACATCCCGCCAGTTAGTGATGTTTCCAGTCAGGATGCTTTCTGTTCCTCCTCTGTAAAAGCTGACAAGAACTTGGCGTGGGAATTTCTTAAGCTTCCTCAAGCTATACAGCCATTTCTTTTCTGTGTCCTTGCAAAACAGGTGGTTCTGGAAGCTAGGTACCATAGTGCTGCTTGGCTTTCAGTCGCATAGCACACAGTAAGTCTCTCCAAGTTAATTTCTGAGAGATCTGGGAATGTGGCAACATTTTCAATAACTAGGCAAGAGACAAGCAGCTTTAAGTAGGCCCGTGATATGACGTCCACACCATCCTTGTAAAAATATTCGCCTTAGCCTTTCAGTACGGTCGCTAAAAAAAATTGTGCTTTAAGGCTGGAAAATCCTTATCTTAAAATCTGAGATGCTACTTTCCATAAAATAGTGTCGGGCCAGTGAATTCAAACTTAAGCGTGAAATGCAGCAAATTACACTGCTCAAAAAATAAAGGGAACACTAAAATAACACATCCTAGATCTGAATAATTGAAATAATCTCATTAAATACTCCTTGTTAACTATGTGCTGACAACAAAATCACACAAAAACTATCAATGGAAAACAAATTTATCAACCCATGGAGGTCTGGATTTGGAGTCACACTCAAAATCAAAGTGGAAAATCACACTACAGGCCGATCCAACTTTGATGTAATGTCCTTAAAACAAGTCAAAATGAGGCTCAGTAGTGTGTGTGTGTGGCCTCCACGTGCCTGTATGACCTCCCTACAACGCCTGGGCATGCTCCTGATGAGGTGGCGGATGGTCTCCAGAGGGATCTCCTCCCAGACCTGGACTAAAGCATCCGCCAACTCCTGGACAGGCTGTGGGCAACGTGGCATTGGTGGATGGAGCGAGACATGATGTCCCAGATGTGCTCAGTTGGATTCAGGTCTGGGAACCGTGCGGGCCAGTCCATAGCATCAATGCCTTCCTCTTGCAGGAACTGCTGACACACTCCAGCCACATGAGGTCTAGCATTGTCTTGCATTAGGAGGAACCCAGGGCCAACCGCACCAGCATATGGTCTCACAAGGGGTCTGAGGATCTCATCTCGGGACCTAATGGCAGTCAGGCTACCTCTGGCGAGCACATGGAGGGCTGTGAGGCCCCCCCAAAGAAATGCCACCCCCACACCATTACTGACCCACCGCCAAACCGGTCATGCTGGAGGATGTTGCAGGCAGCAGAACGTTCTCCACGGCGTCTCCAGACTCTGTCACGACTGTCACATGTGCTCAGTGTGAACCTGCTTTCATCTGTGAAGAGCACAGGGCGCCAGTGGCGAATTTGCCAATCTTGGTGTTCACTGGCAAATGCCCAGCGTCCTGCACGGTGTTGGGCCGTAAGCACAACCCCCACCTGTGCACGTCGGGCCCTCATACCACCCTCATGGAGTCTGTTTCTGACCATTTGAGCAGACACATGCACATTTGTGGCCTGCTGGAGGTAATTTTGCAGGGCTCTGGCAGTGCTCCTCCTGCTCCTCCTTGCACAAAGGCTGAGGCAGTGGTCCTGCTGCCGGGTTGTTGCCCTCCTACGGCCTCCTCCACGTCTCCTGATGTACTGGCCTGTCTCCTGGTAGCGCCTCCATGCTCTGGACACTACGATGACAGACACAGCAAACCTTCTAGCCACAGCTGGCATTGATGTGCCATCCTGGATGAGCTGCACTACCTGAGCCACTTGTGTGGGTTGTAGACTCCGTCTCATGCTACCACTAGAGTGAAAGCACCGCCAGCATTCAAAAGTGACCAAAACATCAGCCAGGAAGCATAGGAACTAAGAAGTGGTCTGTGGTCACCACCTGCAGAACCACTCCTTTATTGGGGGTGTCTTACTAATTGCCTATAATTTCCACCTGTTGTCTGTCGCATTTGCACAACAGCATATGAAATTGATTGTCAATCAGTGTTGCTTCCTAAGTGGACAGTTTGATTTCACAGGAGTGTGATTGACTTGGAGTTACATTGTGTTGTTTAAGTGTTCCCTTTATTTTTTTGAGCAGTGTACATTAAATGTATTGCAAAAACAATTAGAACAATGTACCCATATTCAGTCTTCCAAGACACTGTTATTAATATATATATTCATAAGCCTAAGAATCAAAAAGAACTTGAGTAAATCGCTGAAAATCATAACTTTCAAACCAGGCAGGCTTGTTAGGCTGACAACTTCTTATAGAGCAGTTTGGCCTTCTGGCTCCTCTCTTTTCAGTGTATTGTTTTACTCTGTTTTTCTTGTATAATTATCTGCCCATTCTTCTTTCTGTCAGACAGAAACATTCCCCCACTCCATGTATGTGGTACTCCCTATCCCCTCTTGTCTCCATACTCAGATTTAAACTCAGTTAAATGTTAGTCAATTAACAAACATTTAGATATTTTTTCTCCATTTCTTTGTCTCATTGTTAATAGATAGTGAATATACACACTATAGAAACACAGTATGTCGTGTTTCAATGTTAGCCTTTTGAATTGTGTCTACTTACCAAAAAGATCTGTAGCCCATATGTTTTGTTGACTTTATTTTCTTGTAGCTTGACGTCCCATAGACCCCACTTGATGTATGTGTAAAAATAATAATTGCAAAATCAATGTAATACCTTAAATGTTCTTTCTGACATTATTCTAATCCGTAACAGTAATAATTATGTGATAGTAATCACTCAAAAGAAAAGAGGTATACGGAAGCGGCTTTTATTACCGGTTACAGAAAACACCTTTGACACCATATTGAGAATACCTTAACTCATGGGTGTGGGTATGTGTCTGTGTCTGTATCTGTATCTCGGGGTGTAGACAACCATTTGGAACAAGTCTCAGCATGGCCACAGAGTTCTCTCCAGCTGGGTCAAGTGTCAGGACTTGCCCTCGACTCTGATTCTAACTTGGTCATTTTCCACAGAGGTGACCACCACTGGGGGGCAGAGTAAGTCACATTAATTTATTCACACTTACTATATATAATGTAAATGTAATGAATTTACATTTTATCGGGAGACCTCACCCCCACCTCTTCTTTCAGCTGTCAGATGACATATAATACGTCAGTGGCAGACAGCACAGATCTGCCTGCCGCATGTCTGCCACATTTTTGGGCCTACACAGATGAAAAGGATGAGAAGTTGAAAGTATCATAATTCATGTCCACAATGTCTCTGCTACTGAGCTAACATTTGCAGCTGACATTAGGCTCACTACTTCTATGACCATATAACCAAAATTAACAGTTTCCACTTAAAGAGGTGGTATTATGCCCATTTTCAGGTTCAAAATCTTAATTAGGGGTTGTACCACAAGAGGTTTACATGGTTTAATTTTCACAATACACCATATTTTTCTCATACTGCACATTGCTGCAGCTCCTCTTTTCACCATATGTGTTGTACGCTCCGCTCTTTAGCCAAAGAGTGATGCATCTTACTTGTACTAAATCTTTGTTGGGAGTTGCACATGCGCAGTTCCCTGGTAAGGACTACTAGCCAATCCGAAGCAGAGAAGGGCGGGTCGTAAGAAACAAGGTAGTGTGGTCCAAATCAAAGCCGCTTCAGACTGCAACCGTAACCTAGCAGATGGTATAAGTTACTCAAGTCCACAACCACACAACATCATTGTTCCACATCTTACCATCAGGACTAAATGTTGAACTGTTGCCGGTGTTCTGACGATCTATGCTGCCTTGCTGAAAAATGCTACCATAGCGCAAATCAATAGACTCGACTCTACTGGGCCCTGCTCCATTTACCATTGCAGATAGTACCCAGAGATAGTACGTAGCAGGTCGTCATAGCGAATGTAATGTTCGATGTGACACACACACCAGCGATCCACACAGCTTTCTATTTTTTAAGTTACAACGTTTCAACATTCCTCAGAATGTAAAGACAGATAAGCGGTATAAAACCTTCCAGCTTTGCCGTTGTTGCTGCAGCGGTCTGTGTGACGGCGGGAGCAGAAGGCTCTGTGAGCGGGCGGCTGGCCGGCCTCACACACTCCTCCTGCGGGTTGGCGCAGCCATCCCCCGCAGCCACTTGCGGAGCTCCTCAACTCCGAAAATACTCAAGCACATTTTTGTTCCGCCATCACTTCTCATAAAACTGTCAGTATTTGAAATCTACACAGCTGATTTCTCACCTCAAAACTTCTCAGAAGTGGATTTAGTGATGAAATTCCATATGAAAACTGTAAAATATAAAACTTTCTGGTGAAGCTATGATGATGCAGTGAATAGTGAATATTCTCTGACCAATCAGCAGTCTGTGTTTTCACGTTACATTTTGGTATCCCTCAGCTCGCTTGGAACCTCGACCGAGGTGAGGTGATACGAAAAAAAAAAAGTACCCTGGAAGCAGGTACAAGTACAACATTTCTACAATGGAAAACCAAGGCGCGTGCCTGACCCCCTAGCAGTTTGGCAAGCTTTGTGAAGCGTTTTCATTGTGAAGTCACAAGTAAAGAAAGTGAAGGGCTGGACTACAAACGAGCTGTTTTCAAGCAGTTCAGAGCAGTGCTTTATGTGGGAGATGGGAACTCCCTCTGGGCTGGACTTTGGGCTTTTTCACTTTGCAAACCTGTTACATGCACAAAAAAGATAATGAAGGAGAGTGGAAAAACCAAAAAGCATAATACCACCTCTTTAACATTGCTGATTACAAACAAATACATACAGTCTTAAGAGAAACACTTCCTTATTAGTGAGCTATTCTCCTTTAGTTTAGCTTTTGCTGAGAATCAGCAGATCAGTTAGCAGTTTAGCTTATGTGGCATTGATGACGGGTTGGTGGATTAAGGGAAAAGCACTCCCAATTTAGATAAAACTAATGTGAGCAATCACTACACTCTCTTTTTTCCAGTTCTTTTAACAGACAGGCAAGATACCAGCAGAGGTCCCTAGGTCCAATTCAGCAGTCCACTATTCTGGTTGTGGACGCATCCAAAGGCAACATCCTGAAAGCTTCTGGCAGAAACATGTAAGTTACCGTGTGCTTTAGTTGTGTAATTATGCATGGGGAGTGCCCAGTATGAACAGAGACAAGAGGGTATGACTTGTACTGTCATACATTCTGCATTACAACCAGAGGGAAACTATCTTGTATGATGCATTTCTCTGATGTTGCAGGTTTTACTTGCCTCATGGAATAACTACAGACAAGGAGAATAATTACTGGGTCACTGATGTGGCTCTTCATCAGGTAAACTTGCAGGTGCTATTTATTCTGAGTGTGTTTAATAACTGGCTCTATAAAGTGAATTTTAGATGATGACCAGTGTTGGGCAAGTTACTCAGAAATTGTTACATTACGTGACTACTACTATTACCTTCACCCCCAAACAAAGCAGTCTATCCCGACTGCTGACTTTTTAACTAATTTCATATTCATAGCAGGAGCAAGTAGTTTGGTTTTTACAAAACATTTCTTAACACCTCCGGCTGTAATATAAAGAATTAAGCAAGTCAACCACTGTTTTTCTGCACATGTATTTATAAGAGCAGTATTCAGAATTTTTAAGTTACGTTGCTTAATGCCACTCTCTTGACGAGTCCAAGCCTCACTGGCAGTAGCTGCCGGAGCTGCTTTCTCTAAGTTTCACGGTGCTGTGATGCTTCAGCAGATGCTTCAATAAATCAGATGTAGAAATGTTTGTGGTTGAAAGCTTTTTGCTGGTCGCACAGAGTTTACAACAGAAGACAATGTTCTTTGCATCTTAGACTGTGACACAATAATGGTGATACTTCCAGCTGTGGAAAGAACGCCTCTCTCCCTCCTCCATTCTTCCTTTAGCTTCATGGCTAACAGCTGACTTGAACATCATAATGTCCGGTGCCGCTGACCTTCTGCACAGTCGTGCATTCATGATGATGAAGGATGGTGCGTTCAGTAACGCAGCGTTACTTGGATTAGTAACTGTAATAATACTGTTTTGTAATTCCTTACACTACTAGTTTCTGTAGTAATAGTAATATTACAGTAACGCATTACTGCCCAATACTGATGAGGACCTGCTAATGATGAAGTAATCAATAAAAAAAGTAATTTGTTTATATTTGTAAATGATTTAATACTAACTCTTACATACCACTGAAAAGGTGTTTGTAAGCAGTAGGTTTGATTAGGCGATATTAAGATCAGATTTAACACAGCTCAAATCCATGAACATAATGCACCAGGTCCAATGCAGAGCCCCCTTTCTGTACACTCATCAGGTGTTAAAAGTGAGCAGTGACGACAGAGACAGAACCTTGCTGGCACTGGGTGAGGCTTTCACACCAGGAAGTGACAACAGTCACTTCTGCCAGCCCACTGATGTGGCTGTAGACACCCATACTGGGAACATCTTTGTGTCGGATGGCTACTGCAATGCCAGGATACTGAAATTCTCTGCTGATGGCAAATATCTGTCCGAGTGGGGTGCAGGTAGGAAGCTACACACACACACATAAATGTTTTAAACCAGGTCTTGTTAGACAAGGGGCCTTTCATGTCTTGTGGAAACAAAATTAATTGTTTTTGTTAACACAAACATTCAGTTTCACTTACAGTAAAGCTAAGAAATTAAAATACAGATTTTTCTGCATGTGGAGAGCATGTTATGTCATGTGTTATTTTGTAACCTCGCCCGCCCGTGGGCCGTCAGGTGCTGGCAGCACCTTTCGGTATGTGCACACAACTATGCTATGTTAAGTCCATAATCATGTGATACACTGTTTGAAAGCTAAAATCCTCGTGATTCAACCCATGCAAACCATTTCAAGATACAATCACCACAGCGGGTACAACCAGCGCCTCTGTCAGACCAGCCACTACAATCAAAATTGACACGACTCACCTTTGAAGCCTCACAGTAACTATATCCACTGTTCGATTATATTCCAACAAAAATGGTTTTGTTACGTTGTCAAAGGTCCAGACGATCCCATCCAGTAAAAACATTTAGTCCAAAACACATTATTCAATCAGTAAATCCCCAGGGACTGCTGCTGCATCATTTGAGATTTACCGGCAGACATAGCTAGTACATCATTATAACCATAATAACTCTGCTTTGGATGTAAACAACCATGGCATCTTGTAATCAAATTAGCTGCTGAACTCTGACCTTTTGACTGACACCAAATCCGGCCCAATAGGAGCTCACATGTCCCGTCCACAGCCTACAACAGCCAACGAGAGCCCGCGCTGTAAGGAAGGGCCAGCCCCTGTTATTTCATGGGTAGGCCAAGCCAGTTCCAACCAATTGTGGCGATGACTGGCACTTCGTGTAGCCAATGAAATTCTGAAAATAACGATATCCAGCTTTAAGTAGGAAGTTTCAAGATTCAGGAAATTTATTGTCACATGCACTGTAAAAAAAAAAAGAAAACCCACAATAATACATACATAATTACAATAAACCACAATATATACGGATTGCATGATCTGACAGCAAAAAAAACACATCTGCGTCTACCGGCTGATAAGGAGCGAAGCGGCAGCAGCCGCTTACTGCCAAGGGGCGGTGCTGTTTTTAAAAAGAATACGCTAAGACATAGCCTTAGAAAAACCCGTGTAAAACAGTAATTTTTCATGGTATCGGTCTGAAATTTGAACTTGGAGTAAGGCTTCATGCTGGGGCCCCACAGTGTTGTCCAGCTAATAAGTCCCAGCTGTTTGTCTGCATGCATGTGTTAGCAAACATTTTCAAGCGGTAACAAAAAATATATTAGTTTCAGTGTGTTTAAACTGATATTAATCAATTCCATTAGCACTTAAAGAGATTCAGAGTGTTATGTTTCAGAGAAGTCCCAAACCATGCATTTACTCCAAATGGTTCAAGAACAGCATTCAATTTACTTTGGATATACCTTGAATAGGTGGTGTGCAGGAATTTTACAGGAACGTAAGAGGTTTTAACAACATTGGATTTCCTCAGGGCTGTGTTCCCAGAACTCTTTTGAGATCTTAGATCCCAGCTCACTCTTCTTTCAGACTACATTCATAGGAGGGTTAACAGACCATAAACTTCATATAAGTCTTATTTTTTTGACTGAAGGCTCAGCAGACAGGAGGCACCGCATACCCTTCCGGATCCCCCACAGCCTGGTGTTCCTTCCTGACAGAGAGGAAGTTTGTGTGGCTGACCGGGAGAATGGACGTATTCAGTGCTTCATAGCTGAAACTGGAGAGTTTGTCAAGGAAATAAAGAAGGAGGAGTTTGGAGGGGCGGTGTTTGCCATCACCTTCAGTCCTGCTGGAGGTGAGTTCACTGACTGAGCTGGGGACAATAATTACAAACGATGGCTATCGAACTATTTAAAAATTGTGTCCTGCCTTTCAATCCCACTTCAGTCCTAATTTCAATTTCAGTTTAGTTGTCATGGTTAGGACTAATCAGCTTTTTGGCTCAGACACAATTTTTAACAAAAAGCCTGTGTTACAAACTTGAGGCATAACACAGGCAGAGAGGGTTGACATCCAAGTAAAGTCAGGATCTCTTAGCTAGTAATGCAAGAATACACATTTTAGTGAATGTTTTTAATTTAAGGATTCCCTTTACATTGTGTAATCATAAATGCTTAACAATTACTTTTGTGTGTGTGTGTGTGTGTGTGCACATGAAGCTGGCTTGATCTTTGCAGTAAATGGGGAATCTCCGTATCACTCAGCTCCACTCAGAGGTTTTGTAATAAATTATTCAACCAAGGAAATATTGGATACCTTCACCCCAGAGAAAAAGGTAAACACACACGTAAATGCTCTGTATTTGTATAGCGCCTTTCTAGTCTTTTCGACCACTCAAAGTGCTTTTACACTACATCTGCATTCACCAGTCACACACATTCATACACTGAGCCTAAGTGCTCAAATGGAAACTAACATTCACACACATTCATACACTGGCAGAACAGCCACCAGGGGCAATTCGGGGTTCAGTATCTTGCCCAAGGACACATCGACACGCAACCAGAGGGGGGCCAGGCATTGAACCGTAAATCTTCGGATTAACGGCCAACCCACTCTACCTCATGAGCCACAGCCGCCCCAAATCCACACAAATTATCTCACTGTTTCTCACTCATTCCTATCTCTCATAGACTGAAACACTGGTGAAGGCGGTGTGTGATTAAAGACATATCGTGCCACTACTTATTCATCATTGGACATGCAACAAAGGTCCTTAGCTGGAACTGAACAGGGATTCATATATTCACACATCCTTTGTAGAGTGACAGAGTGCTGGAGCCCATCCTAACAGACAGAGTTACAGAGGCTATCACAAAGCACACACCTATAGACAGAAAACCATTCCCATTCACACCTACTGTAAGGCCAATTTAGAGTTGCCATTTATTTTAACCTGCATGTCTTAGGGCTGTGGGAGAAAAGCAACGCACCCACAGAAAACCCACACAGGCATTTGGAAATGGCTTCACTGCAGCACAACTGCTGTCCACGAATACGTGAAGCGAAAGTATCCTGGAGCACTGACGGCAGCACCACAAATCCTGTTTACTTTCTGTCTCCACACAAGCACGGCACATTATCAGTACAAGGACACGTAGTCCGTTAAAATGTATGTAAAAGTATTTCTTTATTGCATTCACGTTAAAAGGAATTTCTGCCGCGCTGGTGTCATGGTAAGGTTACAGGCAACGTAAGGTTACACCGCGTGTCATCTAACATTAGGCCGTTTAATATTTTATGTTTATTTAACAGCCATGTATGAGCGAGAAAACAGCTGATACTAACAGTACAACAATAACAGTACCATCTGTGAATCATTTCAGTTGTTTTCTTTGCCCCACACTGATGCAGAAATACATTTGATAAATACAGTGACTTTATTTACATGCTGCATGATTTGTTTTAACATTTTTATGATTAAAAGTTCACCCTCTTTCTTCAATCCACTAAATTTCACATGCTAACTTGGATATGCGAGCTCATGTCTAATTTCTCTAGCAGATGCGTCTGGCCCCCAACCCATTAATCAGAATCAGAATCTCTTGTACTGTACCCACTGTAAGCTCTGCATATAGCAAAACTACGACTGTTACAACCTACATCAAATTAAACACAGAACAAATTATAAATAAGCACTAAAAACAATAATATAATGCGATAAAGATGTGATTAATACATGCTCTTTAATGTTAATAAAGGTTTGGATCGATACATGTTTAAAGTTTAAATGGCCTTGGGGAAGAAACTGTCTCTGAATTCTGGCCACTCTGTAGCGCCTGCCAGAGGGTAACAGTTCAAAAAGGTGGTGGCCAGGGTGTGTGTGTGGTTTGGTTTCTTATGCTATAATATGTCTCTCCTCTCTCTTTCTCTGTCTCTCTCTCACCCCCAACCGGTCGAGGTAGATGGCCGCCCACCCTGAGCCATGGTTCTGTTCGAGGTTTCTGCCTCTTTAAAGGAAGTTTTTCCTTTCCTGCTCTTGGTGGGAATTGTTGGGTCTCTGTAAATAATAGCACTAATTGCGCTTTTCCATTACCAGGACCAACTCCACTCGGTTTGACCGAGACACTGCGTCGGTTACGACACTATGGGAACGCCTCTAGGCGTAGCAGGTCTGAACGTGAATGAAATCACTCCAATCCTATTGGCTTGTTGCTAGAATGGTAAGGTGTGACGGAATAACCGGAGGAGTATAAAGCACACCTGTACACACTCATTAGCTTTTTTCTATTCAGCAGGCGCTCTGTATGTTGTTTGAAGAAAGCTCCAGTCCTTCAAGCAGTGTGTCTTACCTGAAGAAGAAGTCTACCAGCGTGTCCGGCAACCAGAAGTACAGAAGGTGTGTTTTTTTTCTTGCCCTCGGTACATCACGGATGGAGATTCTCATGAGATGTGTGTCTCATGTTTGGGGATGGAGCACGCCCGGGCAGCTCTCAAGGGGGCTGCCTGCGGCCATTGCGAAGCCCTTTCCGTGCGGGTATTGAGGTCCCGCATGGCTCCCTTTTCCAAGGATGGCCGGATGTGTTCTCCCCGTGGTGTGGGCCCTGCGGCTGCTGAGGCAGCCCGGCGGCTTCACTCATGGGGTTCACAGCGTGATCTGTCGGAGGATTTCGGGACAGCTGAGGCTTTTTCCCGACCTTCATCCGCTAGCTCCGACGCTTCCTTTCCTCGTTCGGGAGCCCGTTTCTCGGCTTCTCACGGTTGGGATCCGGAGACGCTGCAGCAATCTAACTCCGAGGAGGTGGACGTGCTCAGCATAGTGGACGATGACTTCCGGGTGTCGGGGCGGCGTCATCAGGCGGCCCGACTATGACGAGCTGCTGGAGGTGGTGACTAGAGCCGTGGCTAAGCTCAACATCAACTGGCCACAGGAGGAGCAGACACCACAGGCTAGTGGTAAGCTTGATGAAAGGTTTCTTAAGCACCACGCGCCACATCTTTGCCATTCTTTCCTGATTTACTTGATGAACTGAGTAAATCATGGGGCAGACCCTTCTCTACACGGCTTTCCACACCCCAACCATTGAACTACAGTAATGTGATGGGGGTTAGGGACCGTGGTTATGGGAGGATGCCTCGGGTGGAGGATGCCGAGCTATCTCTCCCTGGAGAAGCTGGCGTTACCCTCCAAGCCATGTCGCACCACATCTACGCTCGTGGGGAAGGCATACATGGCAGCGGGGCAGGCAGGTGTGAGCTTGCACACCATGGCGGTGCTTCAAGCCTACCAAACCGACCTGCTACAGGAGATGGTTCCGTTGGCAGACTTTGCAGAGGCTTGGCGGAGCCTGACGAACATTTCTCCGTGGGTCCTGAGCACTGCCATAGATGGGTATCGACTACAGTTCAAAACCCGCCCTCCAAAATTCAACGGGGTGGTTTGGACTGTGGTCCGCCCGGAGCAAGGTCCGGGGTTGGGACAGGAAGTTCTTACTCTGCTGAGGAAAGGGGCTGTGGAACGTGTCTCCCCCTCAGAGACGCCGGGTTCTACAGCCGGTACTTCATAGTCCCCAAGAAGGACGGAGGGCTGCACCCTATTTTGGATCTGCGGGTTCTAAACCGGTCTCTGAGGAGATTCAGGTTCAAGATGCTCACCATCCCCACCATCGTGACGCACATCCAATCCGATGATTGGTTCGTCACGTGCTGGGAGGGTCTTGTCGCCGGCTGGTCATTTCGACAGATGCCTCCCTCAAGGGCTGGGGCGCGGTCATGGGCGGTCGCTTTGCAAGGGGATCCTGGCAGGTGCATCAGTCCGAGTGGCATATCAACTGCCTCGAGATGTTGGCTGTGTTCCAGGCTCTAAGGAGTTTCCTGCCCGATCTCCAAGGCCACCACGTCCTGGTTCGTTCCGACAACGGGGCGGCTGTGGCTAAGGAGGTAGAGCGGGTTGGCCGTTAATCGGAAGGTCGGCGGTTCAATCCCTGGCTCCCCCTGGTTGCGTGTCGAAGTGTCCTTGGGCAAGATACTGAACCCCTGGTGGCTGTTCCGCCAGTGTATGAGTGAGTGTGAATGTTAGTTTCCGTTTGAGCTTCCGTTTCAACACTTAGGCTCAGTGTATGAATGTGTGTGACTGGTGAATGCAGATGTAGTGTAAAAGCGCTTTGAGTGGTCAAAGACTAGAAAGGCGCTATACAAGTACGGAGCATTTACATTTACATTTACACAGCGGTGGTGGCCTATCTGAATCACCAGGGCGGTCTGCGCTCACGCCCTCTGTACAGACTGACGCGTCAGATCCTCCTGTGGTCCCAGCAGAGGTTACTATCGTTCAGTCGCTCACTGTATCTCCCGGTGACGCAGAATCAGGGAGCAGACCTGCTGTCCAGGCAGGGGCTGAGGCCCGGGGAATGGAGACTTCACCCCGAAGTGGTGGAGCTCTTGTGCAGAGAGTTCGGCCCCATAGACGTGGATCTGTTTGCGCCTCAAGAGACTACGCACTGCCCACTATGGTTTTCTCTCGTTCCTCCAGCCCCATTGGGTCTGGACGCCATGGTACATTCGTGGCCGAGGCTACGTCTGTACGCTTTTCCCCCAGTCGCTCTGCTCCCGGGGGTTCTGGAGCGGGTCCGCCAGGACAATGTCGGCCTACTGCTCGTAGCCCCGTTCTGGCCAACCCGGGTGTGGTTCTCGGACATCATGTCGCTCCTGGACGGCCCGCCGTGGCAGGTCCCTCTGAGGAGAGACCTGCTGTCCCAGGCGCAGGGCCGGGTTCTTCACCCTTGCCCCGCCGTATGGCGACTGTGGGTCTGGCCCCTGAGGGGGCACAGTACCTAGAGGCGGGTCTAACAGCCGGAGCAGTCGAGACCCTCCTCAGCTCCAGGGCCCCGTCCACACGGATCCTCCTTGGTGCCCGGAGGATGAGACCTGCGACTCGGTCCAAGGTTCCCACTTGGGATCTGGCGGTGGTTCTTGGGGCGTTGGCTGAGGCCCCCTTCGAACCCCTGGAGTCAGCTGAGGCTAAGCACTTGACCCTCAAGATGGCCTTTCTCCTTGCTATCACCTCTCTGAGGAGGGCGCTTTCGGTTTCCCCGCAAAGCCTGGAGTTTGCCCCGGGGAATATTAGGGCTATCCTGCACCCTCGTCCAGGATACACCCCTAAAGTGCCTTCTTGTGCAGCAGGGTCCACAGTGCTGCAGGCATTTCATCCTCCACCTCATGTGACAGCGGAGGACGGGAGACTTCATCTGCTCTGCCCTATCAGAGAACTGAGTATTTACACTCTGAGGTCCTCCCGTTGGAGGAAGGCTGATCAGCTGCTAGTTTTGGGTCCCC